GTGTCTGTAGTTGGGATTTCATTTTGTGGGCTGTGGGTATGCTTTTGGGTAATTGATTCATAAATGGGTCATTTGCTTTTGGATTGAATTCGGGCTATTTATTTATTTAAGTAACTATTGGATCTTTTGTTTAGGTTTAAGATTTTTGTATGATTGAATTTTAAAATGTAAGTTATTGGATTAATATTTATTAATGGAAAAAAAATTTCAAAATTTTGCTGGGGCGAGTCAAAATTTTTGCGGGGACGAAATTGAAAAATACATTACAAATTAACTAAAAATAGTGGACCAGCGGATAATGTTGGGGGGCGATCGCCCTTCCTGCCCCCCCTATCTCCGTCTCCGAGTACACGTGAATTTTAGCAATCACATGCACTAAACTTCCTTGACTTGTAGTGATAATAAGAATATTTTTTTCCACGTATAAAGCTAGTTGTATAATCAAATGTGTACATTTTTATTGACACTTTCTATATATTAATAATTTAGCCATTGATTGAAAAATATATTTTTAAAATTAATGTACCAAAATTCGTCAATTTACAAGGATATAAATCAAACTGTAAACAATTGTGTACATATAGCATGACCCTTGCAATATTTATTAAGCACGAGTCTTCGGTAACCCCATGCGTCATGCTGCAATTATGAGGATGAAATACGACCAAAAGACTAAAGAGCAAGGAAAATTGCAAATCGGCTTTCAACCTAGTCATATACTAACAAATAGGTCCCTATTCTACTTTTTTAATCATTTTAGTCCCCTCCTTTTAATTTTACGTAGCACCATGGTTTCTAGTTAACAAAAACTATCCAATTGACCGTGAAACATCCAGACAAGTCTCACATTTCACATTTCAACGACACCCACGCAAATGATTCAACCACCTAGCCCTTGCAACCATCGCTGCTAAATCAATTAATTATTTTTTGACTTACGGCATTCATATAAGGCAATAAATCGCCCTTTAAAAAAAATCCCACTTACTTTTTTAGCATTCTATACATGGCATGCTTGAGAAATACGTTATAAATATTCAGCTTTTACGGCGTACATGTTTCCCAAAGCCATTAGGGCTAGCTGAAAGCCTTTTATCACATAATGACAAAAATGAATGACAGACCTGTGAAAGACTCATTAGCGTCATTGCTACTACCCCTTATTTTCCATGTGAGACAATAAAGAAAAATGTCAAGCTGATTGATAGTACACAAATGTTTCTGCTAGCTCCTTTCAAATCATTTCATTTTGGAGCCACGTATTACTTTGTCACTTCAAAAAATACGGTTGCCTTTTGGGAATTGAGATTTGGGTTTATCCGGATGTACCGAAGGGGGGTGACCGAATG